CTTAATCTAGTCAGTGCATTCATTCATTTGAATAGAACAACTGGGTGGTGGTAACTATGAGCAGGAGGAGGTAGGTCACTCAGGTTGTGCCTTATATACAAATTATAAACAAAATATGTTTATAATTTGTATATAATATACACACATATATATACAAAATCTTTTTGTGAGCAGAGCTCTTTCTGATTTCTGATTGTCATATCCTGAGTTGCTTTCCTTTGTCACATCATTCTGCTTTGATGTTCTGCCTCACCTTGGGCCCACAGCAATGGTGTCAGCCATCTATGCACTGAGACCTCTGAAACTGTGAGCAACAAATAAACTATTCCTCCTTTAAAATGGATCTTATCAAGTCTTTTGGAGACAGTGGCAGAAGAGCTAACTAGAACATTTTCAACACCTCCCTCCCTCTCTCTCTCTCTCTCTCTCTCTCTCTCTCTCTCTCTATCTCTATCTCTATCTCTATCTCTCTCTCTCTCTCTCTCTGACAGTCTTTCCTCTCAGTTATAACCCTCACTCAGATAAACCAGGGTCTTTATTCCAAAATCATTAATCACATCTTCAAAGTCCCTTTTGCCATGCAGGGTAATATATTCACAGGGTCACTGATTAGGACATGGGTAGCTCCAGGGTGGAAGTGAGGAACATATTCTTCCTACCAGAGAAACCCACTGAACAAATGAGCTCCTTGAAGATGGGATTTATATCTTCCTCACCTCTGCATCACCACAACCTGCCACAGTCAAATGTGCCTAGAAGATACTCAGCAAATGTTCAAAAATTGCTACAGTTAAAAAATATTTATCTGGTACCTACTGTGTGACAGATGTTATTTTAGGCTATGGGACATGTGGAAGTGAGCAGAATTAACTTATTTTCATTGCATCCTAGTGTAGAGAAGCAAAGAGCACACACACGATATACCATAATGACAGGAAGGGTTATGAGGAAAAGTAAACCATAGTAAAGAGCACAAGGAGTGTCAGTCAGCTTATTATGGAAGAAGTCTTCTCAGGCAAGCTGCCATTTGACTGCAGATCACAAAGGACTGTGAATCAAGGTTTACCAACAAGGAGCAGAAGAACATTTCAGAAAGAAGAAATGAGAAGTGCAAACATTCTGAGGTTGGAATAGGCATTTTGAAGAGGCTTTTTGTTTGTATTACTGGGGATTTTGCCTAGGGGCACTTGTCCACTGAGTTATATCCCTAGGCTTTTTAATTTATTTACTGATTTTTTTTGAGACTGATCTTACTAAGTTTCCCAGGCTGCCCTCAGATTTGTGATCCTACTGCCTCAGCACCCTGAAATTACAAGCATGAACTGCCATGCTTGTAAATACTGGACAGGATTTTGAGATTTTTAAGAAATAACAGGGATGCAAATGAGGCTTCACAAAAAAAAAAAAAGAGAGGGATGATACCAGATGAGACCAGATAGGCACAAGGATGCCAGAGGGCCCAGGATTTCGTAGTCCACAGTAAAAAATTGGATTAGACTCCAAGAGAGATGGAAATCCATTACAGGCTTGAGATAGAGGCTGGCAAAATATGAGTTGTATCTTGTAAAATCACTCTGTTGTGTTAAGCACTGGCAGTGATCAGGATGAATGCAAAGAAACAAGATAGGGCTATTGCAGTAGTCCCAGGGAGATGTGTTAGAGTGACAGTAGAGGTTGTGGTGAGAATTTGTTGTAATCCCAATCTACATCTGAAGTGGAGAAAATAGTGTTGGATATTGTTTGAAGGAAAGAGAATAAGAGCGACTTTAAGGATTTGGGTTGTGTTATGGTTTTGGTATGTGATGTCCCTCAAAAGCTCACATGTGAGACAATGCAAGAACATTCAGAGATAAATTGATTAGATTATTAAAATTGTAACCCAATAAGTGGATTAATCCATTGATATGGCTTAACGGGCTGGGTAACTGTAGATAGGTAAGGTGTGGCTGCAGGAAGAAGGTCACTGGGGGTATGATTTTGGGGTTTATATTTTGTTCTTGGTGAGTGGAGTGATATCTCTCTCTCTCTCTCTCTCTCTCTCTCTCTCTCTCTCTCTCTCTCTCTTCCCCCCCCCCCTTCCTGATTGCCATGTCCTGAGCTGCTGCTGCTTCTTTTTTTTTTAAGCAATTCCACCATGATGTTCTGCCTCATCTTGGGCCCAGAGCTATGGAGTGAGCTGAGCACAGACTGAATCTGAAACCATGAGCTAAAATAAACTTTTCCTTCTCTATGTTTTTCTTGTCTGGTATTTTGGTCACAGCAATGAAAGCTGAATAAAACAGGCTGAGAATTTGATGAGAGTAGTCATCACTTAACAAAACTGGGTAAGATTTCTCACAGTTTTGGAAATGTTTAGAGTGAGGTGCTTATCAGATGTCAAGTAGAGATGCTCTGAAGAAAGGTAGACATGGGAGACTGAAGTTAAGAAGGGAGACTGGACGCGAGATAAACATTCAGAAATCTCAGCATATAGACATCATTTAGAACTCCGTAATTAGGTGAATTCCTTGGTTTTGGGGAAACAGTTTTGGAAGAGTATTTAGCTCTGGAACACTCTTGCTTTATGGAGGTCGGGAAAATGAAGAAGAGAAACAGAAAAGGAATCTGTGAGCAAGCAGGCAGTGGGCAATGAGGGAATCCAAGAGGAAATGATGTCACTGGAAGCCAAGTGGAGACATTCTTCCAAAAAGACACCATCCAATGTGCCAAACTGCTGCTGAGATGTTAGTAAGATGAGGATCTTGAAATAACCATTTGTTTTGGCATCTTGGAGGTGGTTTGATTGTGTTTTGATATGTTGGGGAAGCAAATGCCTAAAATTCTTCATGGTGACCCAAGTGCCTTTATCATGTATCCAACAGCCCTTGCTGACTCTTCATTGCATTTCTAAACTTGACTAATGCTTAAAAATTTGTACTTTGTAATTTGAGTCTGACTGGTAGGATAAACAGGATGATTTCCTTGAAGTGAAGGCTTCTAAGGTGGTTGGTGATCTAGAGCTCCTTAATTTGCAAAATGCCAAAGAGAAATGTATTAGCTTTAAGTTGTCTGAATTCCTTACATTCAATTATTTTCATTGCAATAGGAGACTAACAACTCCATAAAATAGATTAATGTAACTCAGGCACATTCCATTTTCTATGGAAAGACATAACTCATTGCAGGCAGAAGAGTTTGCACAACACCTTTGCTTTAACTTTTTATCTTGTTTCCTGATAGGGCTGACAGAGATGAAACATGAAGTGCTTCAGGTACAAGATTAGTTGTAGGGATTCTTGAGTTTTAAACTTCAGTTTCAATTTTAATTGAGGCACTTCTTTGCATTCATTGTCTTCAGACCAATTAATATGTTAGTAATTAATCTTGTTTATTACCATATTCTCCTCCTCTTAGTGAAATCAACTATGAAAACATTATTGGTATATACAATCAATATTTGCTATCTCTTGTGATACAAGTTGGAATAAATATAAAGCATATAAATGTTAAAACTCTTACTATTAATGGAGCCAAAAATTATTCTCAGATATTCTGCCAATGTCCATTATAGTTTTCTTAAAATATATTTTCTAACTGAAAACTATTCTATACATTTCTTCTACATAATACTCATAATTTTTTAAAGTTTCTATTCTATACAAGGTCAATTTATAGAAGGTATGGACAAATATCAGGGAAGCTGGTTGGAAAAGAAAATATATTTTAAAAAATCTTCATACTGATTTCACAATCTGAATCTATGATCTGAGCAGAAATTGTCTTTTACATACATAGCTTCTTGTAGGCAAATTTTGAGCCTTAAAGAGGTTAGAATTCGCTCTTTTTTCCTCTTGCGTTGCTGTCTGCTCACTTTCCTCTTGTGAAGGCTTTTTTTTTTTTTTTTTTGCTGTGCTGTAGACATATGGTTACATATTTTACTACCTTCTGTTTGAAATTCATTGGTCTTGGTTCTGAGGTTGTTTTTTCTGTTGGGTCACAATGTGTGCTCTTGAATTTTAATATGATAAACAATCTGTGCTAAAAACTTCTTGGTTTGATTCCAGATTAAAATCAAACAAATAACCAGCCAACCACCCTTTACTGAGTTGAAAATAAAAGTACACAGAGAGAAAGGATTATATTAGAAACCATTGTTGTGTGGCTCCCTCCCTGAGTCATCACTAGGTATAACACTGATTTGATACAGGTGATTTCAAGAAAGAGCTTGGTAGATTCAGTATGGGAAAACATGGATACTACCAGAAAATAGTTTGCTACACTTTTTTATCATGGGTTTAAATTTGCTTTCTCACATTTATTATTTTAAATCAATAAGCAAAGAGGTTATTGAGTATCAGTGATAGGAATACAACAGAGCCAAGTTCAAATTCTATTTTGGACATTTAGTGGAAGATTTAATGCAGTGACTCACATTCTCTGTGCCACAGTTTCCTTAAACTTATAACAGTGACAATCCTGACATTATGGGGTTATAGTGATGAGGATTATACCTAAGAATTTATGGAAAAAACTAATGAAAAATATGTGCACTGATAGGTTTTAAATGTAAATTGAATAATATATGTCTTGGAAACAAATGATCAGTTTCCAGGTGTGCAATGAGTATAGAATAAAAGGAAACTTCTCATTTACAAGTGAGAAAACTTTTTTGATTCATATTGTAAATCATAACAAAGAATAGCTTGAAATTTTAATTAAATTGTCTCACTAGGAATCATCTAGATAAAAATTTGTAGAGGACTGAAAATATCAAAATTAAAATTTTCACTCACTGCATAAGTTATAATATTTCCAGTATCATTTCAGAAAATTAAAAGACTATTTATCCTTCCCAGGATGAAAAAATACCATAAGTGGACTTCATAAGTGGATAAAGATGCTGATTTCCTATGATATCTGTTACCTGTATGGCTGTCTATCTATCCATCTGTAGATACACATATATGTTTAGACATCCCAGTAGAATTGCAAAGTGCTTATAAGAAAACACCAACAAAATCTCAAATTTAAATGTAGGGCATATTTGCCTTTAATCACCATCATACCTGATCTCAATATTCCTCAAAATTTGAAGTACTAATACATATTGTCAGACAGATATGTCTAATATATGAGTTAAAATGACTGATTACAAAATCCTAATGTGTAGTATCAACAAAAGGGTGAAGTGATCAGGTTGCATACACTTGGGGGCTTTCCAATGATGGCATGTAAAAGTGTACCATAATTGGCACCCTTGATTTTGTTCAAGGAGTTTGTGCAACCTAATCTAAAAACAGTAATAGATCTCAGTATCTTTTGGAAGATAAAAATCTTGAATCATTTAAGGACACAGCAACAAAATTAACAGTTTTCATACTTTGGTTTATTGTAAAATTTAGCAAAGTTTTCCTTGTAATCCCTGACCCCTTGCTCTGAAAACAAAAGCAAAAACATAATTATTGCTTATTCTTTCCCCCCTACTTTGTTTGTGCTACTCTAAAAGAAGGGAGGAAAATCATTTTAATAAATAAAAATAGAGATGTAACAGAGAAAAATAAATCAGTCTAGATGAGAAATATTAGGAGCAACAGAAATGTCATTAAGCAGTTTAAAAATAAGCTTCTTTTAAAAGGTTGTCTTATTTTACAAAATCACACCAAAAATATAGCAGCGGAGAAGAAGGATACATACAAGTTAATTGCACACCAGTCCCATGCAAAAAACTGGGTCATTAGCCAAAGCAGTAGTAGTCAGAATCCAATTTAGGAGGCTTGTGCAGGGCTTGTGAGTCCTCTATGATGGAGCCGTCACTGAACTGGTCCAAGTCTGAAGGGGTCTGATGGCCTGGGACATCATCAGCCAAAGTGTCCAGGTAGCTTCCCACAGAGATGCCATCTAGCCCATCACTGCCATCCTGCAGGCTGTTGTAGCTGCCGCGTAATGAGGTGCTCTGGCTCTCCAACAGGCTGCACAGACTGCCACTGAGACTGCTGCCTCGGCTAGTGATGGTGGCTTTCTCCTCCATCATCCACTTGATAGACTCGATGCTCTCATTGATGAGGAGCAACTGGCGCATAAGTCTGACATCTGTGGCTCTGAGGTTAACCTATGTGGAAGAGGGAGACAGGAAAGACATGCCAGTTATTCTACATTCTTAACAAACTCCAAATTCATGTGGATACTGTCTGCTACCGTCTACGATTTTAAATCCACAGAATAAAATACAAGTATACTTGATCTCAGGATCTCTTTGGAAATTGCTGACCATCGGCAGGAGTCATAATCAAAGAACTCGCTTCCTGCCAGATGCATCAGAGTCCAAAAGGGTCCATAAAATTCCCTCTGCATCCCTGACCCTAACCAAGCTACCAGAAAATAGTATATTGAATGTGAAAGTCTCCGCTGAGAGATGTATTCTCTCTTGTCAGGTTAATAGTTTATCCAAGTTTACATGGGAATGTATATCCACACTAAAGGGTAGGGAAAGGGGGAAGATATAGAAATTAATACATCTCATCAGCATGATGGGACTTCTACTTATTGAGTTATACCATGCTAGGCATCATTATAAAAAATTCAACTTTAATTAGCAAAATCTAATAACACTGTACAACAGCCTTATTATTTTTATTCTTATTTTACAGATGAAGAAATTGAAATCTACAAAAAGGGGTTAAGAGTACAGGAAAGGCTATACTCCTCATGATTACATTGGCACAAACAATATGGACTATTACTCTTACTATTAACAAGAACCAAATTGACCTACTATTCTCTGAATTGAAAAGGGTGCTGCTGCACTAGAATGACACAATTTACAAGATGAAGGCTACAAATATGTTTGGAGATCTAAGTATTTGTTTTAGATATGTCAGGGACACTCTAATCAAAATTGGGATATAAAAATGTCCTGGGACTCCCTTAAGAGCCATCTAAGTGTGTAGTCCTTTTGCCAATTCTAAGATATTTCAGAGAAATCTGTTTCCACAGCCATAAAGCAGGATGTTTTCGTATGCCCCAGAATTTAATGAGAACCCTTTATAACATCAACTACGTAGTAGCTTAGGGAAGAGAACTCTCATGATTGCCCCTGTTCCTGTTGGAACTGGATAGAAGTGGATCCTCTAAAGATCTGTGTGCCTGGTCTTGGTTGGCCACTAGAAGTTCCACTCATATTCATTATGGTTTGAACATGGATTTTTTGTTATTTTACTTGTGGTATTAGCCCAAAAGGCTGGGCCAGGCCAATTCTCTCTTTACAATCCAAGACTAACTCAGATTTGTGGGTTTCTAGAATTATCAAAGGCACTCATTCTTGAATGACTCAAGCCAGAAGAGAAAAAGGAGTTCATTGTATTCCAAGATATGTATTCATATAAAAATATTTCCTGGTGAAGAGTTAATCCATAACTGAAGGTGAACTTTGGCTTCTATGAACATGACAAACAAACCTCAGTAGAGATGCAACTTACACTCATGTCTTCAATAGATGTAAGGTTATAGGTTTTAGAGACACAAAAGTGCAAGTAGAAATTCAAGATGAAAAAAGTACACATTAAGAAAAAAATAAATTTGTTGGGATATGAAATTGACTAATGAATTCTTCATCTTCTCTGAGAAAAGCATCAAGAATAAATTGACTAGATAGAGTACAGGGAAATTTATTTCTCTCTGAAATGTTCATGAAGTGAAGGTTGTGAACTTAGTAAATCTTGATGTTCCTTTGTTTTTGATGGTGTCTCAATGACCTTGCAATAACTTTATATTGGAGAAGGAGGTTTTGGCAGTCTTTATGCTCAAATTCACTCACATACTCCATGAGTCATTGTGACATCATTCAAGTTAGAAATATTACAAATATTTACAAATGACCAACAATGTGCCTGGGTACATTGAGAAGTGCAGAAAGATCAATATCAGTTAAACTCTTACAAAATCTTTTAGCAGGCATCTGTACTTGATGCACCTTGCTGTGCCCATCGTAGGCATGGTGCAATATCAATCTGACCATTTCCAAATAGCTTCCCAAATGGACCAAAGCTGCATATATTCACATCTCCACCCTGTTCATGGAAGTGTTTCAGCCCAAGTTCTGCTTTGGGGATGTGCCCTGATCTTCCCCTCACTTAAAGTACTTCACTTTCACTCTTTCTAGTTCTGTTTCTTCTGTCAAGCACTCCTTGCTGACTCTAGCCTGTCCTGCTGGCCCATTTTATCTCTATAGTCTGTTTGGTTTATAAGTTAAAATGAGCTTTATTTTATACAATCTTATAGTGGTAATAATTACTGTTCCTTTTAGACTTTCCCCAAAGAAAAGAAGCCATGTCTTACATGAAACTCTGTATCATTATTATTATTATTATTATTATTAGCAGTAGTAGTAGTAGTACTGGAGATTGAACTCAAGGGTACTTTAGTACTGAACTACATCCCCGGCCCTTTTTATATTTTTCATTTTGAGACACCATCTCGTTAAGTTGCTAAGGATCTTGTTAAGTTGCTGAGGATGGCCTCAAACTTGTGATCCTTTTCCTTAGTTCTAGTGTCACTGGGTTACAGGCGTGAGTCACCATGCCCAGCCTGAAACTATATCTAAGGTCTCTTCAAAGCACTGACTGATTTTTGAGAAATAGTCAAAATTTTAGCATCTGTGAAAGTTCATCTCTTAATATAGTCACAAATATATGTTCCCGGAAACCATGTCACTGTTGGGGTTAATATGTACTTAGAATGAATTTTCTGTCAGCAATTTTTGTTTTACTTACACAGTGGCTGCATCAAATAACTTTTTAAAACTTTTATCGAGCGATACGAATAAAAGGGGAGTAAGGCTATGAAGCAACAAAAGCTTCCTTTGACCATGAAATGATCTATTTAAATAAGAAAATCTTTTGCTTCTGAAGGCAAAACATTCACAGGCCGTTGAACTATTGTTGGGGAAAAATATGACGAAAGTAGGTCGGTTAGAACGAGTTGATCTGGCTGATAATGATTATGGATTTAACTGTGTCTAACCCTGTGTCCTCTGAGAAGAGTAAACAGCTTCGCTGTGTGGGAGCGCTGGGTGTGCTGGTTCACACGCCTGGCTGCTGGTCTGGTATTGGAGCTGCAGGCTCAGAGTGCCCTGGCTCACGCTCTGCATTCTCCAAGAACTAAGGTGTGGTTATGCTACTGATGAAAGCATGAGCAATCCACCCAAGAACTAAATCACAATGTTGCTTCTGTCTCCAGTAGCTGTCCCACGTTTCCTCAGTGTTACTCGTTTCAGTCTTTAGGAAGTCTGGCCATCAATTAAGAACAGGGTAGCCTTGCCCTGGCAGCACAAATCCTGGTGGTTCTTTCAGCTGGGGTCTCATGACTTTACTCTGAGAATATTGAGAGTTGGAGCCCTCTTCAGGATCTGAGCTTAAATGCTACCTCCTTGGAGAACCTGTTCTCCTGATCAATCATGGTGTCCAGTCCTCATGCCTATTTTTATATTTCTGTAGGTCTTTTGTTTCCTTCATAATGTTTATGACTAATTAAAATCATCCTGCTTTTCGTGTGTTTTTTTCTCTGCCCACCCCCATAAACATGGAGGAGTTGTGGAATACTTGGTCCATCCTTCTTGTAACTCTGAGCCAAGACTGAAAGAGTGCCTGACACATAGTAGGTACTCTATCAGGATCTGTCCAGCCACCAAACAACCAGCTTTGATCCAGATTGAAACAACTGATGGGAACCTGGAGTTTTGCTGTGGGTCAGTGATATGTGACTGAAGAGGAAGGAAAGTGGTAATTCAGAAAGAACATTTCAATATTGAAGTGTCCCCAGTATATGGTTTTATTTCTATTCATTTCAAATTTTAGGCATTGAATAACTGCAGTAAGATTCTTCCTTGCTAAAATTTACAGAATACAAGATAATTTTTCTAAAAGGAAGTGGACTTCAAGGTGTGAGTCACACTCCAAACATTATTCTGTTTGCTTAGAGGTGATAACTGAGCACAGCACAGGTGTTCTGTAAACATCTGGTGAAATGAATGGAACAAAGGGAACATGCAAACAGAGCTCCCCCCCAAAAAAAAGTATTTGGATTCCCCTCCCCATCTCTAGTCCTTACAGTTTCTGCAGAGTAGTTCTTCTTTATCCTAAGTTTCTCATGCTTTAAGATTGTGGAATAATAGCTGTTTGTATTTTAGGGAGAATTCTAAAACTTCATGTAATTTTTGGATAAGTGATGAACTGAGTCTATGGTAGAATTTGAAATAAAAGATCTTGAAAAATCAAATATTCCTATTAGTAAACTTTTCTAGATCTGTTTTCTTTCAAATTACCATTTTTAATACTGACAGAATGCAAAGGTTATGAATTGGCATAATGAAATCCAAGAAAGAATGTGGTCAAACTTTCAACTAATCAAGAAACTGCTATTAAGTTCACTTCTTTTGTGGTATTGTATGAGAAATGTGGTACAAGACTCCAATTCACCTCTGATGTGATCTACCTGTGACCTTTGGGCAAAGTGGCTCAGGGTAGAGAAGTTCAGTTTCCTAACACATGAGGAAAAATCATGGTTTTATTCTGAGCTCCAATGAGCCACGGGGTTCAATAAAAGGTGGATGGTAAGCCAGTTCTACGAGCAAAGACAAATGTTTCCCAATTAAGGCTGAATTCAACTTAGGAGTTCTCTTATATTACTGTCTGCATTTCATACTGAGGTTGCATTTCAGCTGTTATTTGATAAAGAGGTTCTGCAGATGAGATAATCCCAGGATTTCCACCCATTCTGACATTTGATTCTTGTTTTTTCCTGGGGCTGTTTAATTACTAAATTGTTTCAGCTACAAAAGTTATGTAGACTATAGAAGAGACAGAAAAATCAATTTTGCTGGTCAATAGATTCAACAAAAGATTCTGCTGATAAAACACCAGAAGTTTGAGCTCTTTTTTGCATTTTATCCACCTTATCAGAAACATGTGGTAATTTTAATAATAATATGTGCTCTTACCATTTAGGCTTCAGTAAAAGTCATGTTTGTGTTCCAAGACAAACATGCATATCATGTTTAATATGTCCATAAATTAACTGAAGTGTACACATGAGCTGCTGAGTGAATCTTCCATA